TAGTCTTTAAAGAAATAGTGCTAGAACATGGACATCCACATGCAGAAAAAAAAAAATCAACCCAAGCCTCACAGCTTTACAAAAATTAACTCAAAATGGATCACAGACCTATATGTAAAACCAAAAGCAAGAAGAAATCCTGGTGATCTTGCACTAGGGAAAAGAGTTCTCAGATACAACACTAAAAGCCCAGGCCATAAAAGAAAAATGGATCAAATTGAACTTTATAAATTTAAAACACTTGTTCTGCAAAAGTCCTTTTAAGAGACTTGGAGAGAATACTTGCAAATCACATATCTAACAAACAACTTGTATCCAGAATATATAAACAATGTTTGAAATTCAGCAAGAAGAAAATAAGCAACATAATTACAAAGTAGGCAAAAGATATGAATAGATAATTCACCAAAGAAAATATATAGATGGCAAGTAAGCATATGAAAAATACTCAACATTATGATTCACTAGGGAAAGTCTAAATTAAAACCATAATGACATAGCACTATACACCTATTAGAATAGCTAAAGAGAAAAAGAAAAAAATGATGAAACCACATGCTGGCACAGATGCAGAGCAATTAGAACTTTCTTACAAGCCTAGTGAGAAGGCAAAATGATAATCACTTGGGAAAACAATTTGATAGTTTCTTATAAAGTTAAATACATACTTACCAGAATAACAGAAATCAGACTCCTAAGTATTCACTCAAAAAAAAAAAATTAACTTATATGCAGAGTACATCATGTGAAGTGCCGGGCTAGATGAAGCACAAGCTGGAATCAAGATTGCCAGGAAAAATACCAATAACCTCAGATACACAGACAATACCACCCTTATGGCAGAAAGCAAAGAAGAACTAAACAGCCTCTTGATGAAAGTAAAAGAGGAGAGTGAAATAGTTGGCTTAAAACTCAACATTCAGAAAACTGAAAAAGTTGGCTTAAAACTTAACATTCAGAAAACTAAGATCATGGCATCTGGTCCCATCACTTCATGGCAAACAGATGGGGAAACAATGGAAACAGTGACAAACTTTATTTTGGGGGCTCCAAAATCACTGCAGATGGTGACTATAGCCATGAAATCAAAAGACACTTAATCCTTGGAGGAAAAGCTATGACCAACCTAGACAGCATATTAAAAAGCAGAGACATTACTTTACCAATAAAGGTCCATCTAGTCAAGGCTATGGTTTTTCCAGTGGTCATGTATGGATGTGAGAGTTGGACTGTGAAGAAAGCTGAACACCAAAGAATTGATGCTTTTGAACTGTGGTGTTGGAGAAGACTCTTGAGAGTCCCTTGGACTGCAAGGAGATCCAACCTGTCAATCCTTAAGGAAATCAACCCTGAATATTCACTGAAAGGACTAATGCTGAAGCCGAAACTCCAATACTCTGACCAGCTGATGTGAAGAACCAATTCATTTGAAAAGACCCTGATGCTGGGAAAGATTGAAGGTGGGAGGAGAAGGGGGCAACAGAGGATGAGATGGTTGGATGGCATCACTGACTCTATGTACATGAGTTTGAGTAGGCTCCAGGAGTTGGTGATGAACATGGAAGCCTGGCATGCTGAAGTCCACAGGGTTGCAAAGAGTCAAACACAACTGAGTGACTGAACTGAACTGAATGAGCCACAAAAACCTACCCATGAATGTAAAAGCATCTTTAATCATAATTGTAAAAAAATAAAACAACCCAAAGGCCCATCAGCAAGTATCTAGATAAACAATTCTACATCCATACAATGGAATATTACTCAGCAGTAAAAAGGAGTGAGCTACCGATAAACCAATAATGTGAATAATTTCCAAACATATTTTGTTGAGGGAAGAAAGACCTAAAATGCTACCTACTGTATGATTTCACTTATATAACATACTGAGGCTTCCCTGATAGGTCAGTGGATAAGAATCCACCTGCCAAAGTAGGAGACTCAGGTTCAATCCCTGGTCTGGGAAGTTTCCACATGCCACAGAGCAACTACCCCGTACCCCACAACCACCGAGCTTGTGCTCCAGGCCTCAGGAACCACAACTACTGAGCTCTCGTGACAAGACCACCGAAGCCCACGGGCCCTAGAGCCAGTGCTCTGCAACGAGAAGCCACTGCAATGAGAAGCCCACATCCACAGCTAGACACAAGCCCTCACTCTCTGCAACTAGAGAGAAAGCCTGGGCAGCAACAAAGACCCCGCACAGCCAATACATAAGTAAATAAAGAAAATGTATGCAACATTCTGGAAAAGGCAAAACTGTAGGGATGCAGCAAACCTGCAGTTCCCATATACAGTCAGTTGTTTCTTCTCAAAGGGACTAGGGATACTAAATCAGGAAAAGTAACGTCTTGAATAAATGGTGTGGGAACAACAAATGCAGACAGAAAATGAACCTCAGCCTCCATTTAACATCACACACAAAAATTAATTTGAGATGGATCACAGACCTAGACAAAAAAAGTTAAAACTGTAAAATCTCTAGAAGAAATGATATATTATCTTCAGAATCTTGGGGTATAGAAAGATTGTTTACCACATAAAAGTACTCAAAAGAGAAAAAGATTTACAAGTTGAACTTCACCAAAATTTTAAAATTTGTGATCATCAAAATAAACACTAAAAAATGAAAAGGCAAGTGAGATACTGAAAGAAAATATCTGGGATACATATGTATGATAAAGAATTATATCCAGAATTTATAAGAACTTCTGAAAATCAATAATCAAAACACAAACAACCTAAATTTTTTTAATGTACAAACACCTGAAGAGACACGTCACAAAAGAAAATATATAAATGACAACAAGAACATAAAAAGTGCTCAACATCACTAATCACCAAGAAAATGTGAATTAAAATCACAATGAAATTCCATTTTAAAACAACTAGAATGGCTAAAATTTAGAAGACCGATAATGACAAACTTTGCAGTGGATGTAGAACAATGAAAATTCTCACACACTGATGGTAGAAATATAAAATGATAGAACCATTTTGGAAAAAATGTCTGAGGGTTTTTTAATAAACATACATCTGTCTTATAAACTAGTGTAGTTAAACTACACTCTTAACTACAAAATGAAAACATACATATGTCAATAAAACTGGTAAACAATAATGTTTGCAGAAATTTTTGTTTACAATAGCCAAAAGCTGGAAAAAGACAAATATCCATCAATTCACAATTTATCAAATTGTGGTATAATTATAAAACAGAATACTACTCAACTATAAAAAAGGATGATCGGGATGGGGAATACATGTATATCCATGGCTGATTCATGTCAATGTATGACAAAAACCACTACAATAATGTAAAGTAATTAGCCTCCAACTAATAAAAAAAAATAAAAATAAAATAAAATTTAAAAAAAGAATGAACCACAACAAGATAAATACAACAAGGATGAATATTAAAAAAAAATATGTTGAGGGAAATAAGGCAACCACCAAAGACTCCACACTGAATGATTCCATTGTGAGGAAATTCTAGAACAAAGGAAAATAATCTATGACGATAGGTATCAAAACATCAGAACAATGGGTGCCTACGGGGAGTGGAAATTTGCTGGAAGAGAGCATAAGAGAACTTTCTGAGGTAATGGAAATGTTAAATCTTAAATGGGGCAACTGGTACATGGGTGCATACACTGATAAAAACATCATATTGTATACTTAAAATCTGTTCACTGCATGTCAATATTATCTCTAAAAAATTTATTTAGGTCTCTCTAGTGGTAGAAAATGCAGAAGATATCACATGGCATCCTGCATGAAGTGAACAAAAGGCCACTTTTAGAGAGTGTATGAATTCATTCAAAATCACAGAGAGAAGCTTAACTTCATATGGGGTTCAAATGCTTGTGAAAACAGAGTGGTCTTTTTTTTTTTCCATTTATTTTTATTAGTTGGAGGCTAATTATTTCACAACATTGCAGTGGGTTTTGTCACACATTGACATGAATCAGCCATGGAGTTACATGTATTCCCCATCCCGATCCCCCCTCCCACCTCCCTCTCCACCCGATTCCTCTGGGTCTTCCCAGTGCGCCAGGCCTGAGCACTTGTCTCATGCATCCCACCTGGGCTAGTGATCTGTTTCACTATAGATAATATACATGCTGTTCTCTCGAAACATCCCACCCTCGCCTTCTCCCACAGAGTCCAAAAGTCTGTTCTGTACATCTGTGTCTAGAGTGGTCTTATTTTAAGCAACTGGAAACTGTTTATTGGCAAATTTTTAAAATGTGGTTTCTTTTTTTAATTAGACTTGACAATATAAGAGTGAGTGGATCAAATAAAGAGGTTAAAAACTGAATCAACTATGGGAAGTCTATGCAAAAAAAAGTATAGACTGTCATTGTTATTTCTGATTGGGCAGGAATGAGAGTTAACAATATAAAGTATGTTGATAATATCTTGTATATGGAAAAAATATGATTTTGTTAACTACACATAACTTCTGTTCTCAATGGAATCCAACACAGAGGACATATTACCTCTCACAACCAATAGTTTTGCTATAGGATCTATAACTATAATTCAAATTCTTCAACATTAGGAACTACAGCAAATTTCAACCCCAAATGAATTTAAATGATGGTTCACATATTAACAGAAATCTCCATAAATGGAATAAACCGGATCAAAGTATATCTACACTAAAACTGATAATATTTTACCAAAATTTCTTAATCTTTATTTTTAAAATGAAGGAAATACAATTTTAGTATTTAATTGATCTGTGCATTTTTAACCAGAAACCCATCTACTTTCAAACTTAAGTGAGACAATCCTTAATCCACCTGAGTATGTGCATATGCATGTATGCCCATTTGTGTAGGTGTCTTTGCACAATCACATGTACATGTAACCCAAACGAGCAAGTTCTGTGTGGTTCTCCGAAGTTTTAACTGACTTGGTATTGGTATTAAAAGAAAACACTTGAAAGTAAAAGATCGAGCACCCCATTTTGAAAGCTCTTTGTGGCAGCAGCATACCTGTGCCCTCTTCTGTACCTCCAGGAGGAGTTCAGAGTACTGCAGCTCCAGTTCCTTCTTTTGTTTGTGCCAGCAGCTCTCCTGGGCTTTGATCTGCTCTGCCACTTTGTTAAAGGTGTCTTCCTGGGTTTGCTGAAGCTCTTTCATCGTATCAGACTTGTTTTTACAGATATACTCTAGATGACTTATCTAAATGGTAAAATGCAATACAGAACAAGATATGCTTACCAATGTGTTCTTTGTATCATCTCCCCCAGAAGGCATTCTAGAATTTTCTACTATATTTTATGCCTTAAGATCATACAAAAATTTTAAGCTAAAATGAAAAAAAAAAAAAAGAAAAAAAAACAGGAGTTAGTAGAACAAAACTATATTTTAGCAGAAAATGTGTCATTTATACGTATAGATGACATCTTTTTCTCTAATAAATTGTATGTGTGTGCTCAGTCACTCAGTTGTGTCTGACTCTCTCTGTGACCCCATGGACTGCAGCCCACCAGGCTCCTCTGTCCATGGCATTTTCCAGGCAAGAATACTGAAATTGCTTGCCATTTCCTATTCCAGGGGATCTTCCTAATCCAGGGATCAAACCCACGCCTCCTGCATTGGCAGGTGGATTCTTTACCACTATGCCACGTGTGAGAAGCTCCAATAACAAATAAAGTTACTTATTCTATAATCAATTTTCCTGAGAAAATTGAGAAGAATATTTTTACCTCTAGAACCAAAGCTCAAGCTGTTCAGGTATTTCAGTGGGAAAGGAAGTATTTAAATGAGATTTACAAATCTACAAACATTTTACATATAAAAAAGCAGAATGTTTCAATCATTTTTTATTTCACATTCAAAACACCGGAAAGCAAATCCTCATCATCTAACATGTACGACAATTAACAATGTTTTGAAATTATGAAAAACTATTAAAACACAATACCATATCAGAGAGCTAAAACATGTACTCACTTTAATTACTGGTTATTTGGAAATCTGTTACATACACATTCACAGCTAAGAACAGTATCTCCACTTATCACAATTTATTCCCTTATTTCCTCAGTTCTACTTCTCAAAGCCTATGATTGTTTGCCAATTACACCAAGATAAAAATGCTCTCACCCTAAAATTGGGCCAAGATGCTGTTTCATTACTTCAACAGATTTTAAAAAAACAACTTAGGGAACAATTTTCCTCTCTGTGTCCCTTAAGGGCAAATGTCACTGCAACTAGGACCTAGGAACTAGATCATATAAATATAGTTCTGACTAGTTCAACAGACGCAGGATAAGAATCAACACCTTTAACAGAGAAATACGTTGGACTGCTAAGCCACTTTAATTTCCAATAATCAAAAAAAGGTTTCTAAATTTTTTTTGAAAGACTGAATTCCTAGGTTTGTGAATGTTAAAGGGATGATAAAAGTCCAGTTTTATCCTACAATATGTCCTTCCTACTTTCTAAAGCACTGAATGGGTTTTGTAATATACAGTTTGTTCTATTATAAGAAATGTCATAAACATAATTTTTAAATTTTAAGTGCTTTCAAAGTAACATCTCATTATTTCCTGAGCAAAGAATTTTAGGATCATGTTTTTGAATAACTGTATCTTGTTTCTATTTTATGCTAACATAAAGAGTTGGTTTATTAATGTAAATGACTAAGTTCTTTGAATTGCTTCATCAGTAAGATTAATTTATTTTCTTTTAATTAGGTCCCTGTGGCTAACACTGGCTAGTAGTATTAGCATGTCCTGCACAGAAAGTGTAGCTCAGAGACTTCATACAGACTTCAGTCACATTTACATGCCCACAGCAATAGTATCAAACTGAGTTGTAGACAAGCCATAATTAATGGTATTGAATTATTAACACCAAAATTCTTTTTGAAATAAGATGAATGTCAGCCCCTCTTAATGATACTGTGATGTGGACAAATGTCACTGAATTTAATAGAGGAATCTGGTGCCTGAGGACAGTTACCTTCTCATTAGCCCTGTTGAGGTCTACGATCAGGGCATCAACATTCTCCTGCAAGACTGCACAAAGCTCAGACCAAGAGAATTTATCCAGCATGCCTTCTGGTTGTTTTATGAGCACAGAGCCTGCTATCAAGTGCTGATACAAGGTATGAAGGAAGGTTAGCTTCTCCTGTGAGAAAAAAAGAAATTAATTCCAGTATATAAACACTGTAAGAAGTAAAACACATAATACACATGGTGAAGAATTTATGTCAAAAATCCTGGAAAGGAATTAATACTCAAGTATGGGAATATGGTCATCTTGGGGACTTTTTTAACACTCAAAATGAAACATCAGATAGAAACTTACAATTGCTTACACTTAGTAAAAAATCTCAAGTGTAGAAGCCAAAAGACCCAGGTTTTAAGGCCAGCTCCGCTACAGTGGAGGACACGACCGGAGTCAGTGTCTGCTCAGGCTTCCTTGTCTGTTCAGCCTCCCTGGGCTTTAACAGAGGTGTCTGGACTGGTTGCTTCTGAGCTCTTCTAACTGCAAGTTAGCATGGCAATTACAGAATTCCATATCACATTTGCCAAAAGAGATGTTAAGTCAAAAAACCAAAATAAAGAGTGCACCCAACACCGTTAAAGAAAAAGTTATACCAATATCTGCACTTTAAACGCACACAATTACTCAGCTTTCCTCCTCCTCCAGAGATTCTAGTTTACTTACCACTTACAGGAAATCTATCCTAAGCCCCTTAGGCAAAGCAGACAGTGATATGAAAGAGATGGAAGATAGGCTCGTTATTTTTCCCCCACTTAGAAGTTCATACCAGACTTGGCAAACTGGGCATTTGTAGGTGTTTAAATATCACAAAGTTAGCAGTCCAAAAACAAAAACAAAAAAAACAGACATGGCTACCCAAGACATACTTTAAAACTGTTCAATTAAAAATATGTAAAAAAATTCTTTCAAATTATATTGCTATTGTTGTAGCTAAACCATCCATTGTTTAATGACCTAGAAATACTATACTGTAGAATTCAGTAAAAAGTTGATTTCCATCTTGAACACAAAAAGAGAATTTACTTACTAAAATGCCAAATTGCTCTCGTTATAAAACATTTTTATCCTTTAAGTCAAACAATGGAACTCAAGACAAGGTAATTGTGAAGCTGCAAAATGAGCATTTTATGTAGATAAAATAAGCTCTCTCAAGGGTTTTTAACAGACCAACAGGAAAACTTTTAAAAGAAATTTTAAATTTCTATTTAAAGATAGGAATTCTAATCTTCCAGATAAGACAACTGAACGTAGCATATGTAAAAGTTTTGTAGTTAGAAACTGTGGTGAAAGTTTCCAATATATATAAAAATATGTATCTTTCATTCTCTCTATAGGTCATCTTAGATTTTTCCAAATATAACAATTTAAAACCCCCCAAAAATATGAATATGTAGCTTTATCCACAACTTGAATTAAGATATAAGAAGAATCTTTATAACAATGCTATGTATTTTTGTTTTTTAAGCAATTAAAGATGTCTTTTGCATTTTCAACTAAATCGAGACATTCAAAAATCTTATTAAATATAACTAACCAAACATAATACTCAGGCACTAACAACCTTCCCTCTCCACATTTTGCCAAGTGATCGAGTTCTTCCCAAAGGGTAATTCATTGTGTCGCCATCATGTCCTTTTTGCTTGGGCTGTGATGAACCATGCATGACAATCATCCATTTGGCGTGAAAAGAGAATCTCAAGATCCAAAATCAATTCACACATGTTGAACCCAACCACAATCCTGTAGACATGCTGACTTTACAATACAGTCAGCCTTCTAGTTTCCTTTACTTTAATCATTATCTGATGTGTAGAACAATTCCAGCCCCTTCATGTGGACACAATTTAAATCCCAGACTGTAAGAAGAGTGGGAAGAATGTTTCCTTTTTACTCTCTTGGCATTCATGTTCATATTTGTTCGAGTAATGAACTCAATATGCAAGACGACTCAGATAAACTAGCTCCACCCTAGCTAGACTAGCTCTACGTCCCATGGGTAAAAGAAAATATAAGATTACAATTCCACTCACACAGGCTCATACAGTATGGAAGAGTCTGTCATAATATTTTAAGAAGTCATTAATAAATTAACATGGATAGGCAACCCCCAAGGGCATCCAAATAAACTTTTTACCCGTGTGGGACTTGTATTTTTCTAAATTTTGATTAATATACTACAACTATAAAAAATAAGGCAACTGTATTAAAGTAGATATTATTCCTGTTTTGCAAAGAAGGAAGCAAAGATGTGGAGAGACCAAACCATGTGGCTTGTCCGTATTCACAGTATGTAAGCAGCAGTACCTCTATCCAAGTCAGTTCCTTCAGGTTACAAAAAAGATTCTTCCCACCATGTCAAGCTACTAAACTACTGAAATAAAAAAATTATCTTGTCACTGACACACAAGACTGTTAGGAGCAGAGCTGCTTGAGATAGTATGTTCTAATAGAGAAAATAACTTGTACAAATGATAAAACAGTTAAACTACTTTATTTCTCTCACAAAATTGTATCACACAAGAGTAATGGAATGGCTGGTTTTGCAGCTGGCATGAACATTTCAAAATAGCTGAGAAGAATTTTTTGAATTAAATAAGAGTAAAAAGAACCACTTGATAGATGTAAATTTCTAAAAGTGAGACTAGTGCGAGGCCTTCCTGACAGTCCTCTTGTCTCAGGTAATACCTCGGTATCCTTATGGAAAGCCTGGGAAAGCTTCTGAAGTTCACTCTCAGATTGGGCTGCTCGTGCCTTTTCTTTCTCCCAACAGTGCAGCACATTCTGTAGTTCCACTTTCAAAGTGTTTATTAGAGCCTCTCTGTCTGCACATTTAGTGCGTAAATGACTTAACTCTTTACTGACATCCGCCAGCTTATCCTGAAGGTCCTGTTGGAGACACCAAACAAAAAGATGGTAGGAAGATTATAACACTTAAATATAAAATGTTAAATAACTTATTCCAAAAAGCTCTTTACAAGAGTTTTCCTTTCAGCTCATTATTTAAAAAAAAAAAAAAAAAAAAAAAACTTGGTAGCTCAAAAACTTTTAAATAACATTTAAACAATAAATCTCCTACATTTACTACAAGAACATTTACTTCCCAATGACATTTCAAATGCCAGTAGAAATCTCAAATACATGACATAAAATTCTGCTTCACTTTTCAGTCCTTACCCTTAACAGATTTCATTCAAGTACATCCATGACAAACAACAGAACCCACACCAAAAAATTCCAACTCTGAGAGTTGCCTTAGTACAATTTTGCAAAGATGTAGTACATAAAAGCAGCACAAAAAATAAAGTAAACTGTTGTCCTGGACCAAGCTAGATGTGGTCTCAGCCCACTACTAGGCATGATGTACTTAAAACAATGACTCCACTCCAAAATTATGAAAATTACTCCAAGCACTGACATGCTTACATAAAATATGTTGACTGTGTATCTAAGTTTGGACATCAAATCTTAAAACAATTTTTGAATCTATAGTACTATCATTAAATCTGGGAAATGAATTTTTCCTTGAACCAAAACAATTTCCAATAAAGTTTTTTTAATGAAAAATCATTATTTTGATCAACAATGAAAAAAATTTTTAAGCTGTATCTAAACGTACTTAATAAAAAATAGGAAGATATATTTTCATATAGCTCTCCTTAAAAATATTCCCTAGATAATTATATTAGTTTCTTAACACAACAGGAAAAAGTTATTCTAAATTATAATACCTTTATATTTTTAGTGTGAGATTCTATCTTCTGTTTGGTAGAGTCAAGTTCATTAGATGCCTTTTCCTTAGCATTATTCATGTTGCTTAGCTGATGAAAAAAAATGTAAGTAACTTTTAAAAATACTTTCCAAGGGTGGATAACTCAAAAGCTAATCTTTAAATTTTTATGCAATTATTAAATACAAATTTTTGATAGCAATTCAGTCTTAAAAATGTATTTCTCTTGGTTAATTATGTAGTTTCTGTCACAAGTTCACATGCTAAAAAGAAAAGCAAGCATTCAAGCTTAAAATGTCAGTGATATTGTTGTGTTTTTAGCAGCTATCTGGATAAAGGATTTCATTCTTACTGTAAACAAATATAACTTTATTCTTAAAATCCTACAGGACCAAAATGCCAGAAGCAATGGCATCTATACGGAAAGAAAAAAGGACAGAACAGAAGACTGTTCTTTCTACATCGTGAGGGTATCCGCAGGTCTCTCGCTCCATATGACAACCTCAGGGTCGGTCACATGCAGTCCTACTGGGAAGGCTTGTGGCAGGTCATCAGTTGGTCCTGCTCCACTTGTGATTTATTTTCTTTGACAGTTCATTCTTCTTTCTGTCAGACTGCTCTTTTTGCTTTCTTTGCAGCCACCCCCTTGGTCTCCCCACTGCTGTCTCTGGCACTGGTTCACAACAAAGCGCATTACTAAGCCAAAGCCTGCTGAGTCGACTTTTCAACTGTGCTGAGGATCATGTGACATTCATCCTCCCAAATAACAATTCACTGTGGGTAATATGTTCCTACTTACCCTGCAGCTTCCAGAGCTAGGCCTCAGAAGAGGTGCATAAACTACTAACAATACAGGTTGTCTTGTCTCACTGGGAAAGACGGCAATGTTTGCTCTTTATAGAAATTTAATTATTCCAGTGGTCACTTTCTTTTAAGCTTTTTGAACAATTACAGAAGGCATTAAGAAGACTCACTTTTCCTTCTTTCTTCACCTTAACAAACTAAAGTAAAATATGGCTCTTTTGAAATGGGAAATATAAGGGTTTCATGGCCTTTGTATTACATGAAATAAACAGATAAACACAAAGGGATAAATACTAAATTCCAGGTTTTGTGACTTGTCTTCAATTGGAAAAACTGTCTGTTGTTTTACTAACTGTGTTTAACATAGTTATTTCATATTTTCTAATTTGATAAGATGTAACTAAACAACTCTTCAATTTTTAAAAAGAAGTTCATAAAACATTTTAATAATAAAATAAAACAAAATAATAAAATAAAAATAAAACATTTTAATTGATAATAAGAAAATTATCAATCCACAAATTAAACAATACAAAAGAGAAGATAACATGTACACCGATGGCTGATTCACGCCAATGTATGGCAAAAACCACTACAATATTGTAAAGTAATTAGCCTCCAATTAAAATAAATAAATTAAAAAAGAAAACATTTTAAAAAAAAGAAGATAAATAGAAGCATGAGTTTTTTCAATCAGGAAACCAAAAACCTCCAGGCTACATCAAGCAGATATTTGTTTTTAAAAAACTTCTAACAGTCACTCCCTCTAAAGAATGCAAACTAGTTTCTCTCTTTTTTAGTAAGATCTCTACAATTTGTAGAACTCTTAAGCCAAAATATCGACAAGCCCTAAATGTCCACTACGTATTCCAAATCTCATGAAAACACATTAACATTTAAATATTATATTAACTGAGTTGCACAGCTTTTTTATTAAATTAAAATAGATAAATTATGAAGACCAAGAAGTGACAGTCTTTAGAACTCCTAAAATAGTAGTGTGACAGAAGAGTTACAAAAACACCGTGAGACCTGACTTTAGGCCACGCTTACAGATAAAACAGTGACAGGCAACTTATTATTTTTTTATCTGTGAGGCTGTCAAATCAACATTCGCAATATTTTTGACCTTTGTAACAAGCAAGTAATACGTACTGCTGCAGGCCGAAGGCTATGTGTGTGGAGCCAAACAGTGCAAGTGTTACCTCATTAGATGCATCTTCCAGCTTGTTCTGGTAATCTGTCAAGGTACGTCTCAAAGTCTCAAGGACAACAGAGAAGCTGGGAGGTGTATCTTTGTCCTTGTGGATGCCTACAGAAAAATACAGAATGAAAATACACCATTAAAGCCACAAAGAAACAATAGTTAGCTGAAAAGACATCATGATACATGAGTAGACTCTTATTCTTCTAAGTATACTGCTGTATAGCCAAGTATTAATCGATTTCTAAACAAGTGGTCAAATTAAATTCATAATACATCAAGTACAAATTTATGGCTACTTTGTACCTAAGTCCACCTTGTAGTTTGTAGTAAGCTCTTTTTTTCTTTTTCTCCCCCCATTTCCAAAGGAACTAAAGTATTTGTACATACCTGTCACCCAACAATTAAATAAACAGTCTACACTAAACACTGTTTGGGGAAGTTAAATATACTTACTTTGGTCCCTGTGTTTCTGATCAGTCAGGCCTATTTTTCTCAAACAGTAATTTCTGAACCCAAGAGCACAAAATTTTCTGTTATGCTTAGAAATGAAATTCTTCAATCCTTAAAATTCTCAAGTTATATTTGAAATAAATTATAAAAATACTATTACTATCTACATAGGCCCAATCATGTTTCAATTAAAACTCTTAAAACTGATACCCACTGTAAAAATATATTTCCACATTATGCCCTCAAACTATTTTAATTTAGCTAGGACATAAATTAGTTGAGCTAATCAAGGTCACATGGTTAAATGCAGTTTAAAATATTAATCCAAATCATCAAAAGTTTAGTTTCAAAAACTACACTGTTTGCTTACTGTATTACTCATAAACTGTAAAAAATTAAGTAGCAAATTTTAAAACATACTAAAAGTATAATAATTTCTCCCTCTCATATTTTATAATCTAAATATTAATATAGATAAGAAGCATTCATAATAACTTTTTTATTATTCATTGATTCATTCATTCAACTAATTTAACTCATTAATGTATTCCTACTGTGTACTAATCCTAGACTTGGCAAATGGAGATGAACAAGAGTGGTGGAGATTGTTCTTATGGAATTTACCATCTAAAAAGAAGAGATGAGACAGTAAACAATTACATAAGCTCATTCATCCATTGCTCCAGTATTCAGTTGCTGGAACTTTAGGGAGAGGAGGGAAGAAGGCAGTAACAAAGGAAAGAAAGGATGAGTAAAGGGGGGAAAGTCTTTGGTTAATAACAGAACAATTTGATTTACCTCAGAGTATTGATGATAATTATTATTTTAATTCTGAACAAAATATTATTAATAAACATTACATTGCCAAATTATAATTTAAACACTATCTTAAGTATGGGTACACCTTAGATTTTCTTAAAGAGAAGAATAATAATTAATTGAAAAACCAAAAGTAATGTGGAAACAACACATATCCCAGCGAGAGGGGGGAAAAAAGAAGACAGTGCCCTCAGCCATGAAAATGAAGAAGACAGTACTCTTCATAATGACTATGAGTTGGAGAGACAACTCATTAAAAATTTTATTAGAGGTCTTACCAAATATATTTTTTTTAAATTGCTCTCTTGCTCAAGATTAAAAAAAAAATGTAATGTATAATTCTTTTCTTTTGCTACTACACAAGTAGGCCATGAATAAATCATTCAAGGACACCCGGGAAATCTGTTAGCTTATACAATAGGGGAGAAAACTTGCTCTTAGAAATCCAGAAGAATAAAATCACCATAATATGGTTGCTGAGGGATAAGGGGACAAAATGCCCTCCCCTTACTGACCCATGCAAAGCTTATATTCGACATACAATAAAGTCTCTCTGTCTGAAAATGCCTTCACAATAAAGTTCAAATGAGGTGCAAAGTATATGCTTTATGCCCCGGCCACCTTCATTATAGACAGAAGTACTCACTGGCACCTTAACACGACAAAGTGTTCACAAGTAAAAAGAAAAGACCCAGGAGCTTACTGACTGAAATGTGACTCAACCTAATAATGTCCTCATCACTGTACTATTAGCACCCCGAACGATAAACTATTAAAGCTATCTGATCAGTGAAAGGACTAAAAACTCACAGAGAAGAACAGTAATAAACAAAGTAAAATTTTAACAATAGTCATAACTGTTTTTTCAAAGGTCAAAGTCCAAATGAAGAAAAGCATGTGTCATGACCATTTATAGTACCATTATGCCAACTCAGAATCTTCTTAGTTTCTCTGTCTGCCCACGTATGTCTCTTTACATGGGTGCCAGCCTGTATTTTCACATCACTGCTGCCTGTCTCAGCCTCTTTCTCACTTTTAAGCAGGCTTCAAGTCTGGGTGCTCAGTCGTGTCTGACTCTTTGTAACCCCATGAACTGCAGCCTGCCAGGCTCCTCTGTCCATGGGATTCTCCAGGCAAGAACAGCGGAGTGGGTTGCGCTTTTCTTCTCCAAGGTCAAGTCTGGGTTCACCTTGCCAAAGCTTTTCCTTGAATTAGTAGCCCACTGATGGGAGTGAGATGGAAGGAAAGGTTCCAAACCTTCCATTTAAATGTCCCATTTTGGACAATGTGAAAAACTAAATATTTTTACATGACTCAAATAAACCACTATTTTTCAGGATGGTGTTATCTATCATCTCAGTAACCTACAGTTCCACAGAAGAAACAGTAAATTATAATGACTGAGGTGAGTCTATTTCCTCCACCTTGTCAACCATTCTATCTACTCCAGTATCATGCAAAACCTCAATTATTAAGAAATAATGGACAGAACTTCCTAGGTGGCTCAGTAGTAAAGAATCTGCCTGCCAACGCAGGAGACACAAGTTTGATCCCTGATCCAGGAAGATCCCACATACCACGGAACAACTAAGCCCATATACCACAACTATTGAGCCGGTGTCCTAGAGCCTGCAAACCACGACCACTGAGCCCACACACCCTAGAGCTCATGCTCTGCAGTAAGAGAAGCCTCTGCAATGAGAAGCCCATGCACCACTAGGCAGCGGTGGTGAGAAGAGAGAGTATTAGAAAGTAACCCCTGCTCGCTGCAACTAGAGAACAGCCTGTGCAGCAATGAAGACACAACAACGCCAAAAATAAATACATAAAATTATTTTTTAAAAAAGAAATGGACAGAATATAAAAGACTTTTAAAAAAGATATCTACTATAGAACACGAATAGTCATATTCATCCTCAGCATAGAAAAAAAGAAAACAAAACCCTGTTGTTTAATACTGATTTTTAATCATGTAATAAAACACAGAAAATAACACTCAAATGGGTTTTTCACCTGAGAAAATCTAAATATTTAAAACAATTATGACTAAGAAAATCCCTTTTTCATTCTAAAAGCACTGAATATAAACATTTTGTTGGCAGTTATATTTTACAAGCTCAGACTATATTCCATATATTAACTCATCTTATTTACTGAGATCATAAACATCTTCATTATCTTACAAACATTGGTTTCCATCCTGGAGTTTAAAAAAAAAAATGGCTTATAACTTCCCTTACATATGGACAGTATTTATTATGTAAGTCCTACTCACCCACCCACTATGTCCCCAGGAAGAGTTCAAAAAAATACCTCCTTTACCAACTTTTAAGAAATGTGGTGGGGGTGGGGGAGGGGCTGAGCATCCTTGATGAGCTCTGTAGCCTGGTGAGCATCTAGGCGCAGTAGCTGGAGAGCCATGGATAACAGTGGAAAATGATGCCACCAAGCTGGGTTCAGTGAAGATCTTGGAACCTCAAGTGACAGGGTCAAGTGGTGGCCTCAACTTGCAGAGACAAAATGGATATGGTTATCATAACGGGCAGTGGATTCGAAGCAATAAACAAAATGGTTTTACTCACAGAGATCACTAGCATTGGCTACTGATCACAGTATTCCTGGGACTAAAACAGATAGGCACTCTACTTCAATGTTATTCGATTTGTATAAGTAAAAAGTTCTGGGTCTGATTACCAGAAGTAAAAGTTAAATCTATACAAAAGATATCTTGGCCCTCAACCAATTCTGACAAGTTTTTTCACAGACCCAGGGCCAGTGGATTCCCTTTAGGAACCCGAACATCCTGCCCAAAAAGATCATACTGCAAATCCTAGCCTTCCTCCAAGAAACATTTAGCAGGGTGACTGTGTACTAGGGAAGGGGAGTTACACATACCTCGGATAACTGGACACTGGATTGGAACTGACTCCAATTCCTGGAGAGCTAATATGCTATTGTGGTTCACTAGCTCACTAGGGGAGGAGCTTATACAAGAAAGCTTTGTAACGTTAAGATCTAGCTCCAGTGGGCCCGAGGTGAATCCACAAAGTTATTTTCCCACTTTGGAATGCGCTGTTATAAAAGACAAATGCAGAAACTGGCACAATGCCCATATTAGTTACCTGACCCATGGAATGAGGAGCTAACAGAGGAAAACAGAAAAAAAAGTAAGTGGAAGTCACCAAAACTCTGATCTACCCAAATAGTAAATCAAAAGTAAAGCCACATTCCTAGAGAGATTGCAGAGATTAGTGCCTCTGTGAAAGATGATAAAGGGTGGTGATTCCAACCACATCGGCATTCAACTCATCTGTCTGCTAGTGCAGAGTACAGATGGGTCTTAAGGAATGACAGTGAATTACTGAAAGCATAATCACATGTGATTCCAATTACAGCTGCAGTAACAGATGTAGTTTCATTGTTGGAGCAAATCAATCCATTTCCCGGAAACTGGAATGAGGCTATTTCTTCTATCCTTTTAATAAAAACCACCAAAACAGTTTCCTTCTGCTTGCAGGACCAGCAATGTGCCCTCACAACCCTACCTCAGAACCACATCAACTCTAGCATAATCCAGTGTATAGAAATCTCCATCAGCTCTCGATTCTGGAAGACATCAAGAGTTCTACTTCATTCTCCACCAAGTTGATGTTATTATTCTGACGGCTTGAGTTTAAGCAGGCCAAGTTTGGGAGGTCCTTACAGGTGAATGATAGTGTAAGCTTTTAGAATCTGGGAAAAAAGCAAGCCATCCTCTGCAGATAAGTATTCTCTTAAAAATCAGCTTTTGACTCGCTATTGGTCCTTAGCAGATACTGCATTCACATCCCCCAATT